GTATCAAGCAAAACAACCCTCCTTAAAACAACAGTCAAGTGTACAGTCCACTGTCCATACAAAGACCCAGATGCCTCGACAGGCCATATCCAAATCTGTATCAAGCAAAGATTTCGAGCAAGGAACACCAACATGTTTGCATTGTCAGGCAAATGCATCTCTGATTGCAAACTGTCGGGAAGGTGGGGGCTCTCCATCTGCAGCTGCCGTGTTTGCTCCCAGCTGGGAAAACGGAATGGGGTGGTTGTGTTTCAGGAGCAATTTAAGGTTGGTCGTATTGCTAGCTTTTGTTGCTACCTTTTTAAAACAAATGCGACACACCGCCCGGCTCATTCAAGTCCGTAGGTTCGCCTCGTTGATTTGGCTTGAATCCAAAATATTCCCACACCGGAGATGTGGTATTAGGTTTGGCAACCACTTCCATTTAACTTCAAATTCCCCTCGAGTAAGTCACACGTTGTCTCCTGCTTGTCTCTATATTATTCATTTGGCTGCTACACTGCTGCACGCGGAGTGTCCTGACCTGGCTGTGTCATGGGCTGTGTGTGAGCCCCGCCCCTCACAGCACGCCGGGCCGGCAACCACAGCAATCCTGGCTAAAATTCTGGTCACATCCTTATGTAAACATGCCAACTTACATGCCTCACAAACGTCATACGACTGAATTGAGGCTACATGATGTCAGGCCAAGAGGTCAAGATCTCACTTTTCTATACACACAGACTATTGTTTTATAGAAGTGTTCATTTTTGTACCGTAGACGGGTGTTTTCCCCGGCAGGATGACGATGATGAGCTGCAGCCCGGCATAGGTGTTCTTCAGGTGTCTGAACATGGGCTCCACGCTGTCTGCTCCCTGGGCGTATTTACAGAAACAGGGCTGGCCTTGGATTGGCATCCCAGCATCCTTTGAGATTTTACGCAGCTGGTCTGTGAAGCTCCTGAACATAAAGGAAGAAACACATTACCCTACATGACACTTTTCCTTCAAAAGGACCAGCCTTATGTTTTTAACATCATCACATGTTTATTGTTAGGAGTAAATATGTGTTCAAACTGTATTTTCAATTCTCAGAAAAATAAATGTCTTGCCTCCAGCAAATAAAAAATAACATAACAACAACTCTGTTCTGTCATACTTGGTCATTTTCTAAATGTGTTTTAGATTAAATGCATTTGAAATTTCTTATGATCTCATATCCATAAATGTTCATTATCCTTCCTTTAATATGTATATTTTTTTAGCACTCCAACTTAACTTATGTAACACTAACTTTTATTATTGTTTTTTTCTTTTATACCTGTCTGATTCTATTTTAGCTTGTTTTATTAAAACATTTTCTCATGGCTTTTTAATGACTTTTGTTAAATGTATTTAAATGTCATTTGATATGACTGTTGCAGTTTATCTAAATGATTGTCATGATCATCTAAACAATGTGTGGAGCACCTTGATTTGCCTTTGTGTTGGGACGTGCTATAAATGGCCTTGCCTAAACTAGGGCAAACAGTCATTCTGCTGAACTCACTTGAGGATCTCCTCTCTGCACTGCCTCTGGGTTGCGAAGCAGGCGATGGCCCACATCTTGATCTCCACTCCGGTGTGAAACTGCTTCCCCCTCATGTCCCACACGCCGTGGCTGGGCGTAGCCACCGTGCGGTTCTGCAACGACAGTGCAGGGTTGATCTCCTGGGGCTGGTAGTCACACAGAGACGTACAGTACAGAGGACAGGACAGTGTTTGGATTCAAAGATGTAAAGAGCTCAGGCAGCCAGTGGGAGATCAAGCTCATGTGATTCTTTGAAAAGGCCGATCGTGGCATAAAGACTAATTGTTTTCGGATCGGGTCATGCATTTAGCGTGTATTGCAAGAAAACAGAATTGTGTTGCAGACATGCAAAACAGAGAATTGAATGAAAAAAGCTTCCCTGTATGATCTCTCAAAACAGCATTCCGAGTAATGAAACAGCAAATATCAAAAGTTAAAGTTCATACGCATTTATAGAAAAAGATGACAGAGATGCAATCAGAGAGAATTGTGGTATAAAGCGTGAGCAAATCAGATATACATTTATCTTATTTTTAAGTCATAGGGCCTCCAAAGACAACCGGATGTGTGTCTCATTTATAAATAGGTCATATTGATAACAAACTTTCATTAAGCAAGAAGCACACTGACTGATATTTTCAGCCATAAAATGTTAAGTCATCCTTTTAATCAGATTTCCTGACCAACTGGAGGATACCCAAGTGTCTCAAACACACACATGCATATGAAGCGTGATTTAAAGGGAAGGTACCATAAAGGGTTCAGAGCTCACCCTGCCGCCATATTGCAGCATGGGGGCCGGCAGGACGCGGCCCGTCACCTGAGCCATCTCGTCTCGCACGCGGAACTGAAACTCCTGCACGAACGGGTCTGCCTCGTAGTTTGCACTCCGCACCTGAGAGGAGAGGACATATATTTATTTGACAGGATCAAAAAAGAAGAAAGAAAAAAAGCCGTTTTGTTTGAAGAGCACAGGAACTCACCAGCCGGCTGATCTCCTCCTGTCGGTCTGGAGCAGAGCGCGCTGTGGCTTTGATCATGGTCGACGTCTGGTTGTCTGTCAGTTTTTTAATGCAGCGCTGACCAGGTACAATGTTGCAAACCTAAATGGAAAATGGCAGCTCAACTTCAGGCTAATCACATTGGTCCTTCAAGTAGTTGACTTATGCTTAAAGTCCTGAGTTAAAACACTAACTTTGAGAAAATGATGTAAGTTTGATGCTGCATATTTTTTTTACATTTCAGTTGTCGATTTAAAACCATGCATGAAAACTACACCTCTCTTTCATGTTGCAGTTTGACCTCATATTTATTTGTTTGTGTATCTATTCTTCCTTTATTGTACTCTTGACATTACTGAAAATGAGAACATGCCCTCAATAATTCCACACGTTTAAATAAAATAAATAATAAAGGTTGAACGAATGAATGAATCCCTCTTTTGATCCAACCTGATTCTGAAGAAATTACCATTTTGTTCCAGTTCACTCATTCAGCTTGAATTTGTATTATTGTTGTCAAATTTCCCAAACGTTACTTTCATCTCACCAACAATTTCTGACATTCTTTAATTAAATTATCCGAACAAATGTGAGATATGGGCTGGTTTTAGCGCTCTGGAACCAGACTAAGCTTCACACATGCCGAGGCAAACGTTACAAGCAGTCTGTTGGATATGAATCAAAGATTTATTGTATATGACACCTATACTTGTTTATGAGAAAAAAAAAATCCTCTACCGTCTGAAACAGTAAACTTTGAATATTGTTTTACACTAAAACTGTCTTGTCTTTAAAACGTGACCATCCACAATGAAAAGTAATTTTTTATGATGTGTCTTCCAAAAACTGATTTGAGCAGCTTCGGCCGCGGCATCCCTTTAAACGTCAGTCCTTACCTCCAGGGGCAGGTAGGTGTGCTTCTGCTCCTGGCCCACCTGCAGACAGGGCAGGTGGGGGTACTTGAGCTGCAGGCTGTACTTCTCTCTGAAGTACTGCGCCACAGTGCGTTCAACTGTCTGACCGCTCTCAAGCTGAAGCGGAAACCTGAGGATTTGAAGGCGACAAGAATCTGTTAATGACAGCTTTGATCGTGAGTTAACAGCTACAGCGATGCGAAAACATACGTCTGGAGGCTGGCGGGGCGTCGTGTTACATTGCAGACTCTGTACTTCCTACGCATGGTTCCACAGTGTGTCACTTCCACTTTGAGACCTGGGAAGTCAGGGAAATACAACATTTAGGTGACTGGAGCTTTTATTCATTAGAGTGGAACAACTGAGAGGGCTTAGATGCCTACTTGACCAAGATCCAGCTTTTATCTGTACCTCCTTTATGCATCAAATTAAAAAAGCATTGAACAATGAATAGTCGACAACAACATTAACGAGTCAAAGTATCTTCTGATGCTATCACACAAAGCAGTGCATGGTCTCCTCGTACTGTAGCTCAGTGAACGCAGGCGCTGCCTTTCCTCAGTGACGTACCTTTGATCTCTTTGGTGAACTTGACCCTGTGGGAGTCGGTGAGAGGGCGGGGCTGCTCGTCAATATTGTGAATGTCCAGGACCTCGCACATGAACTGGATGACTGGCTGGGCTTTATAAAACGCTGTTGCTGACACTGAGGAGATAAGAGAGGAGATCAAACTGTTAGTCATGAAGGCAATAACTCAGGTGCAGATGAGGATTTATTTAGAGCCATGAGACAGAGATTACCCAAATGGTACAGCCCAAAGCTGGGTAGCTTAGCATAAAGACTGGAATCAGGGAAAACAGCGAGCCTTACTCTGTGAAAAGGAAGTATAGAGGCCCAATTCCAAACTGACCCCGACACACTATCACTCCGTTTGAGCGTTCGTGTGGAGCGTCTGCCACATTAGGTGTCATTCCAAACCAGCCAGTGGGGAGTGGGAGTTATGAAGCCCCCCCAACAGCTTAGTTTGCATTGACTTAAACCAGCTGCCCTACCTAACCATGTGCAATGTTGTTTGTATCCATCATGAAACAAATAGGTCTGTGCATTTTATTTCTATTATTTTTTACTTAGGATCATATAGACTTGTGTCTACAAAATGGTACAAGTGTTTTGTATGGGGTGGCAAAAACCGAGCAGCTCATAAACATCGGATTTAAATGTGAAAAGAGGTTTACAAAAAAAAGAGAAACACTGCTTAACATTTTTGTAATTTTTCCCGAGAGAGACAGTGATTTGAAATTTACGAAAAGTACATGCCGGGGAGAGGGGAGTTTGTCCCAAAGCATGCCTCTGTATTTACACCCTCCACCTGAAAGAAGGAGCCTCATTCAGCTGAGAGCGGGAATGTGTAGGGGTTAGTTTGGAATTGGGCCATAATCAACCTCACAGGAACTCTAGAGCTTTCCATTTAAGTCAAGTCAATTTGATTATACAGCCAAGTATCTCAAAACACAGGTTAGCATAAGGCACCCTCTGTCCCTTTTTAGCCATGCTTTGGAGAGGGAAACACTTTGGCTTAAAGAAAACCTGAGGGGGGAACATGGAAGAAACCACATGAGGAGCTACAGATGAGGGATGTCAATCCCAGGAAAGACAGGGCTCGTGTTAACAGGACTAACAATTTAGACAATCCATACGATGACTTTGCCTGGCACGTTAACTTCTTCAAGTATCCGCTGGTTGATGGTGGTGATGAAAATACTAGGACAGTCGAGCACTTTCAAAACTTCAGTGTTGTTCTGAACCATTGGTTTTTATAAGAAATAAACAAAATATATATCATTTGGTGAGATTTAGAGTCGCTTGCAGGTTGGGTTTTGTTGACTTTAGAAAGAGCTCAGAAAGTTGTGTCTACCAGTTTTACGATAAGCTAAGCTAACCAAACCAAATGCTGGTTGTAGCCTACATTTACTTCAAAGACTTATCTTCCAATCTAACTCAGCAAAAAAAAAAAAGAATTGCATTCACTTTTACATATTTCCAAAAAACGATTCCTCTGTCTATATGCTTCCTCACCATCAATGTTGAGCATCATTTTCCACATGGCTGGCCGTACTGACTGATGGAAGCCGAACCACACCTCCCTTCCTCCACCTAGCGGGTGGTCGTAGCCCTCTGGGGAGGAGAAGAAGGAGCGTCCCACAGGCGTGTACCTGATGAGGTTCACAAAAGGTGAGGCGTATGTTAGTGGAGCACAAACATAGACCAAGAGTTTGAGTTCCAGAGTGGTTCACAGGGTGCAGCGAAGCACTCATGCTGCCTGAGTAATGGAATCCTTCATGTTACTAAAAGCTATTTTGGTTATAGATTTCCCAAATGGCATATTATGAGGTATATTAAATCAACAATGTTTTTTATCCATGTGCGAATGTTTCTTCAAACCAAACAAATATACTTAAAAAAAAAATCCACATTCCGCATCTATCACAATATGAAACTGTTTTGTGGTCAGAAGACTGAATAATAAAGTCATACAGTAGCTCCAGGATGCAACTCAATCATATTTCATGAGGATGAGAAATCTCTCATGCTTTATTCAGTGCCATTGAGTTCAAACTCTTATCTTCAACTTCCTGCCATTGAAACTCAATCTGTAACATCGCACATGTACAGGATATAGTCATCTTAATGATCTTGATTCAAAGAAACCGGTAATTATCTGAAATATTTAGCTAAACTAAGCTCCTAATACGATTTCAAGTATTGATGCTGGGGATCAGAATTTCTCCTTTACTTGAAATATTCTTATTAAAAAAAAGGTGTTTATTTGGAAAAGCAACTCTTTGCAGAAGGGAGGAGACTCACTTCATGGAGGGCAGGTGTCGCAGCACCACGTCCACAGCGTGAACGGGGTTGGTGCTGATGGGTTTCTCCAGGTCCACGGGCTCGGCCACAGCGCGTCCGTTCAGGACTTCGTGCAGCATGTGCCAGCTGACCAGCGACACGAAGCGGATGGTGACTTTAAACGGGCGGTCCTTTCCACCGTCACCTGGCAGGGTGACATCCAGATCCACCTGGAGAGGGAAACAACTGTTATTGTGGCTGAATGATCAATGATCAAAAGCCCACAGTTAAATATGACTTTGGTAGATTTGGGTTTAAGGCTCTAATTGAAAAGTTGACTTGAGAAGCTATTCACATCATTTAACCAGAAATATTTGGTTTGTTTTCATTTGAAGCTTCAAATGCATGTTGTAATTGAATATGCCGTCATCACTCTATACATAAATGAAATACCCTCAAACAAACCATTTTAATAAAGTATTCATTCAGATCAAATTAGTTGTTTATTTTTGGGGATAAACTTTCCATCATGAATATAACACTATAACTTGTTTTTGTAGGGCGGAACACGAACAAATATGGATTGAAGCAGATCATTTTGGTAGATATAAAAATGTTTTGGATTTTGGGAGGAATTAAATACTACTTTCTGGATTTATTGTAAATGTTTGGATCATACAAGTCAAAAACAATCCTACGCAGCCACCACTGGAGTGCAATCATTCAAATTGTATAATAATACAATACAAGTTTATTGTAAACATTATGAATGAAGCTATACTACAGCTATTTGTTACAACCCAACTAAACTGTGAAGTTCTTTGTTGGCCCCATCAACTGAAGTGAAGAGTCTTACCCCACCAGTGGCGACAGGAAGTGGGCTAGCAGTGTAGAGGCTTCTCTTCCCATCGTAAACTGGCAGACAGTCGCCAAATATGGTCACCTTGAAATGCTGAACCATGGAGTCCACCACCTCCCTGAAAAAGACCCCGGGGAAGACACACATCTCCAATCAACATCAAGTATGAATTTAATCTTACACAGCTCAAAGACATTTCAGGGGTAAATAAAGTGCTATAGTTTGTCCTAGTGTGCAGTCTGAAGCTCTTCCTGTTACCTGTTGACCCGGCGAGGACACTTATCTGGCTTGATGTCCACCTCATACAGATAGACGTCAATCTTGGGGATATCCACCTGGAAGCAGTTAGCCAGAAGCTTGATGGGCTTGCCGAGAGTGCCATAGCAAGGTCGCCGTGGCAATGCAAAAAGTGCTTGGGCTTCAGCGGGTGCTCCAACGTCTCCTATAACGGCACATGCCAAAATAAGGTTAAAAATGTATATCGCATTCTGGCTGTCTTGTATATTATCTACCTAGATATTTCAAAAATGATCACCATTTTTTACGATTGCTATACCCAGATCAGTAATCATGAACGAGATCTCCCCTTTCAGACGAGCTCAGAGAGGAAGGAAGTGGTAAATATGGAGGAAAGAGCAGACGCTGGGTGCTGGGACTAAAGATGGGCAGGGACCTCAAAGATTGCCTCATGTCAAACTGACAAAACTGAAACAAACAGAGCGGCGCCGTTTCCCCCGTCATTCTGATAAAGTACATGTCAAAAGGTTACGGAGTTACGTGGCATTTCAAATAAATAGAGCTCAGCGATCACTGAATTCTTCTGAGTGGCATGGCCTGTGCCAGACTGGAGGAGGAGTGGGCTGTGTGTGAGACACACAAACATTTTCAGAAATGCCAAAGTGGAAAGTACAGTCGGTGAAGAGAAAATCACACAACCACACTATTTCCATAGATGTGACTCAGAGGATCCACACACACACACGTACATGACAGAGTCTCTGCTTCCGATTATAGCAGGAGGTGTTTCACTTGTAATGAAAGTACAAAAGTGTTACTGAAAAATAAATCCTGATGAATGAAGCCGTGAAATGAGTACAGAGCAGCAGTCAGGCCCCGGAGCTGACCCTGACCCAGCCATGACCAAGCATCTCTCACAGACACTTCTCTTTCTGCTGATGCATCCCCAGGTCGCTTCCTCCCCTGTGCCGTTCCCATGGCGATGTCGCCCGTGTTGCTACAGTTTCTCCATGGCAACTAAAGACATGGAAGAGGCAAACGGGAACACAACAGATTTGTCTGATTTTCTTGGAGCTCCAGTCACCAAGGCTGTGTCTAGAATCACTCACTTCAAAGGAATTCTATATGGATGACCATAAAGTAAGCTGATGAGCAACATAAAGAAAACACCTTTTTGACACTACTTTGGGGATTTTTGTGTACTACTAATTACGTCATTGTTGATGCATCATGTAAATCTTCAAGATCTACAGCTGCTAGTCTATCCATATAGATATAGAGACTAGGGATGGGAACTTGAAAGCAAATGTATATTCGAATATTCGAACCCCCAAAAAATTGTTAACCGGTTAACCGAAATGTACATATCCTATAAAAAAAAAAAATTGGGTAAATTTTTTTTTTATTTCAATAGCTTTTGGAAAAAAAATAAATACATACAAATAAGTAAAGAAACCAAGTCGAATTTGTCAAATGTATTGAACTGGTGATCACAGTTTGACAGCTATAGGCCTACAGCTTTCATGTGGGGAGGCGATTCACAATCAGGCCAGCTGTGGAGAAGACACTCTCAGCTGGAACGGAGGTTGCGGGTATAGCAAGGTATAGTATGTGTATATATAAGTTTAATTTGGCCTCGTTTGCACTCTACACCGCACTCACTAACCTCGTCGAAATATTTCCACACATTACTCCTTTTTGTCTGTTGTGTAGGACTCTTCTTAGAGTGTAAATAATTACCGGACTTTGATATATGTTGAATACCGGCAAAACTAAATCTCTCCTGTCAAAATGTTTATGTACTTTGCCGCCACACACGGTTGCCAAGCAGCGCTTATTGTTGTTTAGGCTGGCCACTCATGTGTCGCGAGTGTTGACAGGGGGCGGGGGAGCACGCTCATGAACTGTTAGCGCCGGAACCTCGCAACGGCTGCGGAGCGCATTTGCGCCGCATTTGGGCATAAGATGAGGGTTGAGTCCGCGTGATCTGCTTGTAGGGAGGGACAGCAGCCATATCATTAGCTAGAACTAGCTAGATCTGATGGATTTGGACATAAACGCGAGTGAAGTATAACCGGAAGCGAGAGAGAGAGAGAGATCAGCACCTGCAGCTCTGCCCGCTGTGAGGGACCGGTGAGGGGAGCAAAACACACCATTAGACCTAACACACTTAACTATGGCACTGTCGTATACATTGAATTATTCAATTTGATAATATGTAATCAACTTAGGCATCCCTCCCAAAAAAAAAAATATATATATATATACACCGTAATTTCCGGACTATAAGGCGCACCTGAATATAAGCCGCAGCAGCTAAATTGAATGATGTGTTCATATAGTAAGCCGCACTGGACTATAAGCGCAGGTGTTTTAATGTTTCATTACCATATGTAAGGGTTCGTGCACAGAGGGATTG